TGACCAGAGCAGTGGTGTCTGCAGAAGTGGCCTGGCTGCTCCTTGTTGGAATCCTCCAGCCTGGCTGGGCAGTGAGTGGGATTCCCAGGCTGAGGAGATGGGCTCTTCCCACTCCTCTTCACCTCCTCCCCACACAGACCTGCTGAGAGAGCTGCCTGTGGAGCTTGGGGTTCCCTGTGTGTGGGCTGCACTAATCCTGCACATGATCTCGGAGGCATCGGTCCCCACAACAATCAGCTTAGTCCATTATTTCCTGGAGGAAGAGGCTTGAAAGCCCCTCCGAGGTGCTGAGCCCCTGCCTGTGCCTCTTGGGTGCCCAAAATTGTGAAGGTCTCATAACATGGATGTGGCAGCAGCTCCTTCAGCAGAGCCTGTGCCACTTCTCTGCTCATGAAGGCTTGTGTTGGCTGCCTTGAGCTCCAATCCCATCCCATGCAGAACAATGTCTCCTTGGAAGAGCAATGACAGCAGCTGAGAGCCTCCTAAAACCCTCCTGTGAAACCCTTTTGTGGCTTCTAACTTACTCTGTTTCCCTTATCACTTCAGCACACTCTTCCCCTCTGAGGTTTGTGCTCTGGCCTCCTGTCCTTTGGCAGGAAGGACATTTAGCAACTTCTGCTCACATGCCTGTAGGGCAGCTACACCAGGGGACCTCTCCTTCAAAACAAAGGCTGGGAGAGCGTGGACACAGGGCTGTGAGCAGGGTATGGGGGCAGAGGGAGGGAGGGGGTTGTTAAGAGGAAGGAGACCTGGAGGATGGAACTGGGTGGAGGACATCAAGCCATGGTAGGGTAAGTGGGATGGCTTGGAAGGGAAATGGTTTGGGGGCAAGAGGAGCAAAGGAACAAGCAGTAGGTGGAGGGAGCCAGGGGGCTTGTGCTCATGGGGAAGGGCAAGAGGGGGATGAGTGGGGAAACCAAGGGAAAGAAGGTGGGTGGGGTAGGGGAGGAAGCTGAGCTGTGAGGGGAGAGGAAGGGAAGTTGAGGGTGGCAAAGGCAGGGGAGAAGGGCAAGGGCAGGTGAATAGGGGGAGGGTTGTGCATCCATGTTAGAGGTGCACGTGGGGGGGCTTGAGCCAGGTTTCCTGGGTTCCTCAGGCTCCCCCCAGGGTTTGTGCTGGGATGTAGGCACCACAAGGACCCTGGAGATGTGATGGGGAAGGTCTTGTCCCAGGGAACAGGGGGTAGGAGAGGGGCTGTGGGCTTGGGCTCTGCAGTGGCCCCCGAGCAGCGCGTGTGCTGCCGAGCAGGAAATAACAACAAACCGCAGAGGAGACGGGAAATGATTTGGGTAAAATCGGAGCCGTGTTCTCAGATGAGGCTGTGAAACGTTTGTGACAAGGGCTATCCAGCCCCCCAGGGCTGCCAGAGGGGAAGCCCAGCTCACTCCACAGCTCCTCAAGACCTGAGGTGAAGATCTTTCAGCTCTGACAGCAGCCAGGAATTTTGGGCGCGTTGCTGGGAACAAGGTGAGCCTGGTATCAGGGGCTGGGGCACTTCAGGCAGCAAGAGTCCCCACAACAGCCTTGCAAATGTCACTGTGAGATGGGCACTGCAGAGAGACCCCCTGGCCCAAGCCCCCCACCCCAGCACGTCCTGCCCTGGTGCTTTCTCAGGTTCTACCCTAGTCCTTGGGCAGCAGGGAAGTTTTTGCGGTGCCAGTGTGAGGACGAGAGGTTTCAGCAG